AGAAGTTTAAGTGGAAGATTTTATTCTGCAGACACTGAGGCATGCAGCAGAGATGGCTAATGGACTAAAACACCCACTTGCCTCTCTTTCTATGGTCATCGAGCTTCCTGGCTTAACTGGATACATGGGTCTCCAGAACAAAGACTGTTTCCCACTAACCCCTCCAGCCATGATATGTGAATGAAAGCACTGTGGGCTTCTGTGCATGTCTCCAAAGGAAAGAGGTAAGCCTCCTCCCCTTTCACTTTTCACTTTCCCCAGCCTGCCACCTGAATTGTGGAAGTCGAGCGCGTCATTTGGGACCCGGTGAACAAGGGGAGCACCATGGCATAGCACAGTAGCAGGAGAGGCGTCTGGCACTCTGACATCCTCAGGCAGCAAGGCTTGGGCTACTCACACACGTATGTTTTATGAAATATAAAGTCACTTCTACTTTGTGTAAGCCACTGTATATTACACATATAGTGTGTGCTGAGCTATTGCTTCCCTGTAGTCCTCACTTAGCCAGGCAAGACCTGGGCTGGCCAGTCACCTCTGAGGCTCGTTGACCGAGTGTGCTATAGAAATGACTTACATGCTAATAAATTGGGAAGCTCTGTCTTAGTTTCAACAGGGAATCCCTGGAAGTGTGTAAGGAAGTGACATGCTAAAATTGGGTTTTACAAGAATTAATTTGAGCAACATCCCAGTGTTACCTGGAGCTAGAATTGGGGATTGGAAGAATTTATAGCAAAGGGACATGATAAAACTCTTTGAGCTGATAAAATGTTCTATATCGTGATTGTGGTTTTGATGATGAGTGTGTGTGTACATGAGTATGTATAACATATACATATGTATGTTTCTCAAAACTAATACTTATGTGTGTGTGTGTGTGTGTGTGTGTGTGTGCTGTGCTTAGTTGCTCAGTCACGTCCGACTCTTTGCGACCCCATGGACTGCAGCACGCCAGGCTTCTGTCCCTCACCATCTCCCGAAGTTTGCCCAAGTTCATGTTCATTGCATCAGTGATGCCGTCCAGCCATCTCATCCTTTGACACCCTCTTCTCCTTCTGCCTTCAATCTTTCCCAGCATCAGGGACTTTTCCAATGAGTCAACTGTTCACATTAAATAACCAAAATACTGGAGTTTCAGCTTCAGCATCAGTCCTTCCAATGAGTATTCAGGGTTGATTTCCCTTAAAATTGACTGGTTTGATCTCGTCCTAGAGGATCTGACTTTTCTATGGGAGGCATGAGCTGAGCTTCCCCACAGGCTGGTGAAGATGCCACATCACGAAACTGAGAGGGAGGAAGATGGAGGGCCACACTTACTACTTAAATATATTTTTCAGTCTCTCCTAGTCGTTTTTCATGTGTAAAATGAGGTTAATGATGCTATAGATTGTGGAAAAGTTGTGAACAGCAGAGAGAAAAAAATTGTGGAAAACATCTAGCACCTTCTGGCCTGGCAACTGGTAGGCACCCATGAGTGCATGAGACTAAGAATAGCTGTAATAATCACATATTATAATAGAAAATAAATGAGCTTCCAAGAAGATAATGAAAACTGTCCATATGTGTTCTAGGAGGTGGGTGGACACTGTCAATGTTTGTGCACATGAGGAAATAAGACCTCAGCTATTAGGAGACAAAGTCACTGGTAAATCACAGAAAGATAGGAAGTGGGGTCGGGTAAGGCAACATGGCAGTTGACAGTATTGTTTCAAAAGGAGGCGGCTCCATTTGCTACAGAAGATTCAGTGGTGTGTTCATTTCTCTTTTCTTTACCTCCCTTGACTCACATGCAGGTGTGGGAGTTGAAACAAAAAGATCTTGTAGCCTGCTGCTTAAGATTCCCCTCATATAAGATTTGGTTCTCAGCCCATTTTCTGTCAGGCTTCCTGAGATAGGAAAGCAGTGCATAAAAATTCTCAGGCTTGAAGTGAACTCTCCTGAGCTCCAGACGGGAATTTACAGCTGCCTGTAGACACCTCCATCTGCATGTCCTGCAGGCATGTCCAACCCAGCATGTCCCAAACCAAATTAATTACCTTCCCACACACTGGTTCCCCCCTCCAGCGTTCTGTCTAGGTTAATGCCATAGCCAATTTCCCAGGTACAAAATCTAGACATTTCAGTTCTTTCACTTCTCATCTCATACCCCCAAGATCAGTCTGCTGTCAATCTTTGTGGATTCACCCTTTGGTCATGTGTGCTCTGCGCTGCGTTTTCTGACTTCCATTGCCCTAGTGAGGTTTCTGCTGTCTCCTGGAGTATGACAGCAGCAATCAGCTGGCCCTCTCCAGAGGATTCATGTCCAGCTCTTCGCGGCTCCATGGACTGTAGCCTGCCGGGCTCCTCTGTCCATGGAAGTTTCCAGACAAGAATACTGGAGTGGGTTGCCATTTCCTATTCCAGGGGATCTTCCTGACCCAGGGATCAAAATTGCACCTATTGTGTCTCCTGCCTTGGCAGGCAGATTCTTTACCGCTGCTCCATCTGGTGGCAGATGAGTTCTTTACCACTTAATGTCACCTGGGAAGCCCTTCAAGAGACTATAGGGTCCTGCAACTCCAACGCACTCCTTTAACAGACACCAGCGAAATGATGGCCCACCCACAGAGCTGTGTAATGGATCTACCTGTGCCCCTGTTCCCAGCTTCTCAAGTGGCTAATCCAGTTAAATTCCCCAAGCACAAATCACTTCTCTTTCTGAAAATACTTCAGTAACTCACCACTGAGTTCACAGAACGAAGTCCCCAAACCCAAATTTCTCCCATTTCCCTTTCCCATGGACTTCCCTCGTAGCTCAGTTGGTAAAGAATCTGCCTGTAGCGCAGGAGACCTGGGTTCGGTTCAGGATTGGGAAGATCCCCTGGAGAAGGAAATGGCAACCATTCCAGTCTTCTTGCCTGGGAAATCCCATGGACAGAGGAGCCTGGCAGGCTACAGTCCATGGGGTCGCAAGAATCGGACACAGCTTAGGAACTAAACCACCACCACCTTTCCCATGGTATCTCTTCAAGCTTTCTATGCTCCATCTACGTACCTTGAATGGCAGGCCCTGTCCTTCAAACAGTGTAACTATTTTCCCCCAACACTTTCAGCACCATTTCCACTTCTTAGAATTTTTTATGACCTGAACATCTTTTCTTATCTTTTGTATTGGAGTAGAGCTAATTAACAATGTTGTGATAGTTTCGGGGGGCACAGCAAAGGGTTTCAGCCATGCATAGACAGGTATCCACTCTCCCCCAAACTCACCTCTCATCCAGGCTGTCACAAACATTGAACAGAGTTCCATATGCTATATAGTAGGTCCTTGTTTGTTATCTGTTTTAAATGTAGCAGTGTGTACATGTTGATTTCAATCTGCCCAACCATCCCTTTATCCCACCCTTCCCCCTGCTCCATAGTTACCATAATTTTGCTAAGTCTGTGAGTCCAAATAATGTAATTTTTTAAGCTCAGAGTTAGTGGCTCCAGGAATATTCTGCTTGAGCTAGCTAAGCTCCCTTCTTCCTTCCTGACTCAGGTTGAAAGCTACCTTCTTGATCTCATATTCTTAAGCAGGGACCCATTAGCTGAGTATTCTTGTATTACTCTCATTGGTGGCTAGTACAACCAGATTTTACAGTGTAAGAGGACAGATACCATCTCTTTTTGTCATCTCTGAATCTCCAGGGCATTTTGAATTGACTATTCACTAGTCTGAAAATAATCTTTTTAATGTCTTACTATAAGAAATACTGATTTTTTTTTTACAAAATAAAGCTTTTAAAAATAGCAAAGAAACAGCTATTTGTTTTCAGTGCGCCCAAACAGTGAATTCCCTCAGCTCCACTGTGTTAAATACACTTTTTAAAGTCCCTTGCAGTTTTATTATTCCAGGTGCCCTGCTACCATAAGAAGCCTTTGTGTTCTACTGCTAAAATGTCATTTGGTCCCATTAAGCAGTGTATAAGTGCATGAAGTGATTGTTTAAATTTATGTCGAGTATTCTTGAGAATATTAAGTCAGGTAATGCATCAAAAATTTAGAAATTAACTATTTATAATTTTTTTTTTTAATGAGCGCAACATAATGTATGCTTGTTCTGTGACTGTAAGATATGTCAAAGGGAAGTAGATAACTTAGACTACTATCCAAATAATTCAAATAATACTCATAGCTGTCTTAATTACTTGGCATTTTAGGTGACATGATGGGAAGTCGAGGTGTTGAAGAAATTAGAAAAAGGGATACTTACTTATTTGTTTTTTTTTTATTTTTTTTGACCACACTATGCAGTATGAGGGCTTCCCAGGTGGCGCTAGTGGTAAAGAACTTGCTAGCTAAAAGAAGTAAGAGATGAAGGTTCAATCCCTGTGTTGGTAAGATCCCCTGGAGGAGGACATGGCAACCCACTCCAGTGTTCTTGCTTGAAGAATGCCGTGGACAGAGGAGCCTGGTGGGCTACAGTTCATGGGATTGCAGAGTCAGACACAACTGAAGTGACTTAGCACATATGAAGTATGTGTCATCTTAGTTCCTTGACCCATAGTTCAAACCCATGGCTCCTACAGTGGAAGTGTGGAGTCTTAACCACTGTACCACCAGGGGATCCTGGGGATGCTTATGGTTCTGATTGAGCAAGTTATCCACTCAATTTTTATTTAAATTACGGTAAAGATGATACTTAGCAGTTGATTTCAAATATTGTATTCCTTAGGCTCATTTTCTTTAGAAAATTAAGAAACTGGGATATGAAAACAGTGAGAAGAAAAATTGACATAAATGGGCATATTTTGTACTATATCAGACAACTACATTATTTATCATTTAGCTCAAAAAGAAAAGTTGTAAAGTAAACGGGCATCTTTTTGTCATTTTTCAGTGAAGATACATATTCTTACAGAGTAGCTTTGGGATTGGGAGATAGTTATTATTACTTTATTCAACCATGCTGTCTCAGATTTTCCCCCTTGCTAATAGTTTGTGAAAGTGATTATAAAGTATAAAAATTAGACACAGGCAAATTTTTACCCTCTAGAAAATATTTATTGACACATTTTAATTTCCTTTCTATTTTCTGAGAAATAAACATAATACACAAAATACAGTAAAATGCACTTTTCCCATTTCAAATAAATATAGTTTACTCTTGTAAAAAATTTAATAATCTGTGTAATTCACCACAGTATCTTAATCAGTGAAATAAGGCAAAAAAAAATCTCTAGCTAAATTGTCACTTACTTTAAGATTCTCTTGGTTTTTTGCTAGAGAAAAGGAAAACTATTCTCTGTAGAATTATAGTGAAACTTGGAGACTGCTGCTTCTGGTTTGGAGAAAGCAAAGATAAGTTCCTTTATAAAGTGTTTAGTGTCAAAATGAGTCTCAGTTTGGCAGAAGGATAACACCCAGGTTTTGCTGAATGTACTAAAGTTACATGTAAACTTTTTTTGTTAATACTTCTTAGAAACTAGACTGCATTCTGAATTATAATGATTCCTTTGTATCACATGAGTAATTTTTCAAAATTAGTGGTTAAGTATTTAAGTTAACAGTTATGTATGTAATATAAACCCAAGACAGAATTTTAAAGCTCTATTAACAGGAAAGGTTAAAATAATGGTGCTATACAGTATGGATTTATCCTTTTCACAATTGTTATTCTTAATAAGAACTGAAATATACTGAATTATACAGACTTAACACAGACTCATATACACATATATCCCTGATCAGTTTGAGACAATGCTATAGTTTGCTCTTGTAAGTAGTAAGAATATTTTTAGTAACCAGCAAAAATCACATTTAGGTAGTCACCAATCTTCAGAGTGTACTTATGTATAATCTATTTCTCCTCAAAAGAATATATCACCAAGTAATAAAAATCATTAGTACTGTCTAACTTCCTATGTTAGCAGTTATTTGAAACTTTATATACTAGTAAGCTTACGGAAGTAAATCAAACTTTACTGGAGCTCCAACTCCACCTAGCATGTTTCGGCGCATTTACATGAATGCAGAAATGCTGGTCAAACTCTGCCAAAGCATAAACCTCAAAGCATAACTGTGTTCAGCAAAAATCTTACACAGGCTATAAAGTGGGTATCAGATCTGTCCTCAGCATTACAAAAGGCATCAACTACTGTTCAGGTGGTGCTTTATAATATATGGAATTTTTCCCACTTCCTTTCAAAGAGTGGAACATTATGTGCTTGGGTATCCTTTTATGGCAACATTTTCATTTCTACACATTTCTGAAACAGTTAAGTGTGTGTTCAAAAAATTCACAAGTCCAGTGAAATAAATTTGTGGTTTCCTTCTTTGACAGTCTCTATAATTCCTCCATCTCAAAATGTGTGTTAAAGCTGTTCGCCATGGATGTGTGTTCAAAGATCCTCGACAGGCTTGGTTTCAGCAGCTCCACTGAGTGGCAAGGCAGGTGCTGAGTGGTGTCGTTCTTCAGAGCCATCATTTGCTCTGTCCCAGGCTCCCGTCTGTCATAGTACAGAGCCCAGAGCAGAGTGATGGTGAGAATCATGGCCAGGATCTGTGTCACTCCAATGGAGATCCCCAGAAACCTCAGCACTTGCAGTTGTTTGGTTCCTCTCAAAAAGGAATACATTTTCTTCCCACAACCCTGTAAAAGAAATAATACGGTCAATATCCCTCTGACTGTGTTACAGATGATCAAAATAGTGAAAAAAAAAAAAAAAATCATCCATCAGTTAGTGGAACCAAACAACTTGAATTACAAACTTTTAAGATAGTGACTCTCAATAGGGAACCCCTGTGAGCAGCTGGATGGGAGATAAAAGTGTGGATTCTTTGAAAATAAATTTTAATTATTAAAATAACTGCCTTCTTGTTTCCTTCCCCAGATTCTATAAATAACTCAACTAAATCAAGGAAACCAAGGCTACTGAATCAGCCTACTGTTAATTTGTGCATTATAGTGGAGGAGAGGAATACATAATATATAACACTTAAATTTCCAAAGACATTTATAAGTAACTATACCCTAATAAGTCATTACTCTTAAGAAATAAAAATCATGTAAAACTAGTCACAGACACATTTCAGTTAACTACCTTTTCTGGTATACCATGTAACGCAAATTAACAGCAAAACATTAGCAATGTTTTATCAACTTCACCAAAAGTGAAGTTAAAATATTTATAAGTAATACTATTGATACTTTACACTGCTTTAATAAAATAACTTCTCTAGTCATCTTACCTTGTTAATACACACACACACACACACACACACACACATAGTGAGAAACCACAATAAAGACACAAAGACAGTCACCGACATTCAAGTATTTTTCAAAGAGTTCCGCTCAGGTAATTCATCAGAACCCGTTTGCATTTATGCTTATACGTAATTCTAACAAACATCCTTATGTGACAACATATAGATCATGAACTGCAGAGCCAAAATTCTGAATTCAAATCCCTGCTCTGCTATTTATAAGCTTTGTGACTTTGGTTATGTTACTTAATCTGTGATTCAGTTTTCTTGTATGAAAACATGAATGATAATGGGGCCAGCCTGTTTGTGATCTTGGGAAAATTAAATGAATAAGCATAATTAAACACTTAGAATGTGATCTCATATATAGTAAGAGCTCAGTTGGGATCAGATTTATCTGGTATATCAGCCCACAGAAGATTAGAAAGCACAAATTAAAAGAGATGCAGAATCTATGAAAAGCAGGTATTAATGGACAAGTATGAGTACAACACTTTTTTAGAGAATAAAACACCAAAAGCATAGCATTGTGTTCCCACTGAGTGCTGATGAAATAATCCTTGCCCACCTGTAACAGCGACGGTGGAGGTCACTGTTTCTCAAGACAGTGAAGTAACTATCCAAAATGAATGTTTGCCACTGAGGCTTTAGATCAAGACTCCCCTTATGAAGCAAAGAAATCTTTAACATAGTTTGGAAAGAGGCACACCAAAAATACTTAAAAATGTTTAGTTTCAGACATTTGGAAAATTAGTTTATGTGAACATATCCTTTAGCATCATTGCTAAGTAATGCAGCACAGATCATCTATCCATCTCCAAAGAAATTGATATAAAATGGCTTTGCATGGTTTAGTTGATTCCTCAACTATGTTTTTAGTACTTAGTACAAAAATGGATCTTTAATGAATAAAGAACAATTAAAATAAATTCCACAATCTTGAGTAGTTTACTCAAGAAATACATATGCTAATGATACAACCTTGTGAAATAAGTCAATTATTATTTGATTTTTACCTTTTCAGCAGTCTCTGGTGCTTAAATTTTACCCATATAGTTCTTCCCATTGGCATGTAAAGATCTCCCATCCCTTTAGACTAACTCACTCTAAGCTGAATAACTATGCAGAAAAGGTAATATTTTTAAATTTGTGATTAAAACAAAGCAGAAATTGACTGTGCTTCATACTCTGGCATCCAGTAAAGTCTGTTTCAATTTTATTTTAAACAACCACATATACCAAAACAAAGATACAGTAAATTATATCATCTAGGATATTTGGGAATGTGATATATTAGATAACAGTGAATGTTCCAGAGTGGGAGGGGAACTTAGAAGTCAAAAAGTTCAACTTTTTGTTTGTAAAAATATGGCTAAAAAGCACTTCTAGAGTAATACCCACAAAACTGGCAGAAAAAGGACCTCTGAATAGCCTCTCCCCCATATAAGCAATGAAAGCACTAGAGAAAATTGTCAGAATCAACTTTTTTTAGAACTCTGGAAACTAACCAAATGTTTGCAGCAATCTGAGGAGCATTTATTCAAGGGAAGCACCTGAATCTCAGTAAGAACAGCAAGTTTTGTGGCGTTTTAATTTGCTTTGCTCCCGTGCCCCTTCCCCCGCTCTGCAGGAGCCTTGAAAATAAACAGCCCACAATTACGGTAAAAATCAGTGGTCTGGCAGCCACCAAAGGCAACAGAAAAGGGTTGGAGCGCCTTCAAAGACCCATTGCCAGAGAACTGTCATTATTTGTCCTATCTGGTGGTTCCCTGCAAGAGCTCCCTAGCAAGGCTGTCTTTATCTGACCTGACTTGCAGCTCAACCTGGGCAACAGTATTTTTCCCTCCGGGGAGTATTTGTCAAGAGCATTCACAGGTAACTGCTCAACACTGAGGCTGCCTGAGGCAGCGGATAATAGTTGCACACAATGGGCTAGTCAAAAGCCAAAGGGGGAAAACTGGAGAATGAGAAGTCCTATGTGGTTTTGGCAAAGTTCTGACATATTTGTGGGGATCTAGAAAGTTACACATGTGAGTAAGGCTATGCTCAAGCCCAGGACTGTGCACATGCTCAAGAAAGAACCTACGAAGGCCCTAAGATCTCACCTGAGGCTCTATGCCTCCTCAGCAAAGTCTGGGAGGCTTATTGGTTCTGGGAATCTAAGGAAAGCTCAGTGGCCACACAAGAAAATGCAATAAAATATTAAGACAATCCAGGCTGTCATGAATGGATTTGAATCCCAGTGAAAAAAGCTTTTCGGTTCCCCCAGAAGAGGGGACATAGGTTTGTATCATTATGGCTCATAGTCAGAACCTGGCCTCCTTAGAGATAACTGGACTGAAAATTATCTCCATGTCAAGGAGGGTAAAGCTGGTTTATTCAAAGCAAAGGTCCTAGTTAGACTCCTCAATTTTTAATAAATAAATCAGCCCTATTACTTCCTCATTTAGTTTACAAAGATAACTCCCAAACTAGACAGAATGTATGTATTTAGTTTAGGACTAAGTTTGTCATCAGAATTCATTATATTTTGTCCTTCTCTATCAAAAACCCCTCAGAAAGAGATGTTATCTATAGACTCTTTAAAATAATATCAATTGCCATCTCTAGGTACTTCAACTTATATCTAAATATCACACCAGACTACCAAATTCTGCCATGCTGCAATATATTAACCTGTGCCCTTACATATTATTTTCCACTGAAGTGTACTTTAATGATATTGAAGGACATCATAAGAAATTACTCTATAAAATTTTTGAAAAATAATATTGAAGGTGTTTTCCTAGGTATTTTAGAGTGGTAGATATAAAACTGCACTTGAGCAAATACTTTAGAATTTTGCTCCCTTTGAAAAACTAGAATACATGCTCTCCAAACATTAAAATGATCCAGACGATTATGTGTCATTTCACCTGGGCTTTCAGAAAGCTCAAGGACAAATATGAAATCAGCCACAGTAATCCCATTTGCCTTCACATCAAGCATGTCCAATTACTCTTTCTTTAATCCTGGCTTTCCACTGCTATTTACGTATTTTTCCCTTCCAGTTTTATTGAGTTATAATTCACACAGCACTGTGTAAGTTTGAGGCATACAACATAATAGTTTGACTTACATATATCATGAAATGATTATCACAGTAAGTTTACTGAATATCCATCATCTCATATAGATATAAAAGAAAAAGAAGAAACATTTTTACCTTATAATGAGAACTCTTAGGATTTACTCTCTAAACAATTTTTATATATAACATTTTATATATAATATTTTATAAATAATGTTAATTATATTAATCATGTTCTACATTACTTCTCTAGGACTTATTTAGCTTTATCCAATAAATAAATCTTATTTTTATTATTCATCCATTGTGCCTTTTTGTTGTATGTTGCATTAAATCATTTAATAAAAAAGATACAAGGTGTAAACATATAAATAAAGCACAAATCTCTCTACACTGCATATAATTTAATATTTCTTTGGTAATTCAGGAGACGCTGTAAAAACTTGCAGCCTATTAGGGATCATGCTCAATTTCAGAGAATTGCTTACACAATTACTTAAAGTTAAGGATTAACTTTCCAAATGAATATTCTTCTTCTTGAAAAGAGAGTATTTTTTTTCAGATTTCTGTGTACAATATAATTGTCTGCCTCAGCCACTCTCTGAATTCTTCATAGAAACAGCTCCAGGGTTTATGGCCTATTCTGCAACACCCTCTTCAAAGCAGTTCAGTCTGAATACAAGTTGTGAGCTTATTCTGAACCAGTCAAATAATCATGAATAACGTTTACAGTTTTCAGTGTAAACTTGGATTTTTGGTTGAAAAGCAAGACGCTAAGTCTAGAGAAGAAAAAATATAAATGTGTCTCTATATAATCTATTGTACTATTCACAGATATTTAGTTGCACAAACATTGTTGAATATTTGCTGTTGAGTGAGACAAAAAAGGAAACAGAAATGTTAGAGTTCAAAACTGCATTCCATTTCACAAAGACTCTTACAATAGGAAAGAACTAAATTGCATTTATTTGCTTTTCTCAAAATAAAATACTGAGTTGATTTACCTTGAATATGTTTTCTTCCTAAATAAAGCCATGTTAGCACTGCATTAATAACCTCAGATAATTCAAAGGTATGGAATAAGACAAGTTGGCTAACCTACTTTGCTTGCTGCAATGTTAAAATTCTGGTCAACTGTAAATAACAACACTACCTTTTTATCTGAGAGAAATCACTAATCCCTCTATTTCCTGGAATCTATCTGAAGGCATGTCAAGATGCCTTACTTCACTTGAGGAAATTATACACTTGAAATTATTCTCTGATCAAGCTCCAAAATGAGTTTCTAAAATTAGAAGAACTCCTGTGGCTTT